GGGGGCCCCGACGACGGCGGGCGAAGCCAAGGGCGGTTCTGAAGCCGCACGGGTCACGGAGATGAAGGCGTGGCTCGCTTCTCAGTTCGAATCCGCATGCAAGGAGGTTCCCAGTTTCGAATACACTCATCGGAGCATTGCCCATCTGTATAATCTCGCCACCGTTTCCCAAGCCAAGACTCAGGCTGCAACCATTGTCGCCAATGATTTTCGGCAAAAGGCTTCCGAATACCGAGCACAAGGTACTTCGTTGTAGCTCCTAAAATCCGGCTCTGCATCATGAGTGTTGCCCATTGATGGACAATGTTGTTTCGGGTTATTCTATCTTTATGGTGCGGGACAAGATCTGGGCTCATCTCGATTGTTCTGGGGAATTTGTTAATGACGTAGCGGCTAGGATAAGGGAGATTTTGGAGAATGTGGGGCTGGCACAAGAGAGCTTACCCTCGAACGTGGTCTCATTGGCGCAAGTTCTTGCGAATGTGGCTAATTTGTTGAACATAAGAGACACTGAACTGAGTAGGTGAGCTGCCTTTCCGCTTGTTGTTTGTTCTTGTTGGAATCTTATCTTGAAATTTGTAACTAATGCATAAATATTTGTGTGTGTGTAGTTTTCTTGTGGCAATGGGGGACATTTCATTGAGGAAAACTGGAGTGGAGGAGAAGAGGGCTAAGACGCAGAAAGAATCTAAGATTCTTCTTGATTATACGAGGAAAGCTATACAGAGGTTGACGTATCTAAAGAAGTAAGGTTCTTAAGGGAGAAACCGATAGATTTGACTTCCAGCATGATGTCATTTGTGTTGTGCACGCAAATTCTTGCACCTTTTTGTGAGGTATTGGAGAAGAAGAAACTCATTTGCTATTGTCATGCTGGCTTTTGCAGAATCCTTGCACAACTAGAGGATGATGTAGCTCCTTGTGAATCACAGATGGAGAATTGGAAGACAAATTTGGAAGTCATGGCATCAAAAGAACGTCAATACATACAGCAGTACAAAAACTATGAGGTAGTAGCCACCTCCTTTCAGTTTACCTACTGGTTCTTGGGTAATGGTACTGACAAGAAGTGCATGAGCTAAAGCAATTAGATTTGGTGGAGAGTTGAAACAGGAAGGATAGAAGAAAAAAGACATTAGTTTCGCTAGCTGGTTATTAGGGCTTTCATTCTAAGGCCAAGATCATTTTGACTTCTTCATATCATAGCCAAACACATGAAAATGGAGACATGCCCCCACCTCTTACAGGTCTCATAGTCATTATGTACACCAAAGAATTGCCATCATTTGCAATATTTCTGAGCTACAGAAAAATGTCAAAAACATATATTCTATAATCATATATGTGCTCAGACCTAAAGTTGTTCAACTACATAACAAGGTACTTTTTTTTTATTCCCAATCATTTTATTTTCTATTTGTCTGAGAAACATAAATGAAGAGTAAGAGACATCGATGTGGTATCTATTGATCTGTTTGATCTGTTGGTCTAGAAACAGATCTTACAAGGGAAACAATAAGATTGTATCATTTGTAGTCTGTGTTGTTGCCCTGAAAATTAATTTGTGGTACGCTTTCTGGGGGGGCAGACATTACTCAACCGCGTTGGTTACTCTCCCGATATCAGCCACAGGGTACTGGTAGAAATGGCTGAGTACAAGAAGGAATTGGAGAAGAAAACGAAACCCGTCCTCGATACTCTAAGAAGCTACCAGGACTTGCCCCCGGTAACAACTCATAAACACCGAAGATTTTATCTTTTGCCATTGACGCAAGACATTGAATCCTTCATGTAAGCAAATCTTTTGTCTCTTCTCTGTTAGTTGGTTTGATCTCTGCAAAAACTGACAGGATAAAGCTCTGGCTGCGCTTGCAATTGAAGACAAGAAAAGACAGTTTGCGGCTGCGGAGAAGTATCTCGAAGAAGTATTACAGTCGGCCCTTTCCACCGCCGACAATCCATCTTGGATTTCATGTTTTCTTGGTAGAAGCTTCTGAAGAAAAAGAAGAAGGACTAATCCTCGCCGGGAATGACAGCAATGATGTGTTTATTCGAAGAACAACCTTGGAGATGGAGACTGACTGCTGCTATGTAACCTTTTCTTTCTTCTCTCGTCCTTTGATATTTCCTAATTCCTGTAGTTTCTCTAACTTTGAATGTGAATCTTGAATTGTATTGTGATGTTTATATTGGAGGTAGAATTGTATTGTTGACAAAGCAAAGAATTTGTTTGGTTCGAAGTGAGAAGCTTTCTTTCGCAATCCGAAACCTGAACCAAATCGATATGATAATTGCTGTTTTTTTTTATCATCATTCTCGTGTGTTCTTTTGGAATTTCTTTCATTACAGGGTCATATTTTATAATGTTTATGGTTTTGGGGTACTTTTGGAAACTAAAATAAATATGGGATCAAAATGCGTAGAGAAGGAAAATATGAGGGGCCTGACTGACAATATTGCTCTTCCTGGGGCGTGGGCGTCACGGTGGACTCAGGACGCACGCGGTTTCGTAGCTTCTCTCTCTCTCCTTAAAGAGGGACAAACAAAGTCCGCGAGAATCAGATAATTGGATCGGCTTCAATGGATGCAAAGATCAGTCAATTCTTCGATTCCGTCGGCTCCTTCTTCAGCGGTGGTGACAAGATCCCCTGGTGTGAACGCGATGTCATCGCTGTAAGTTCCCTCTTTCTTCCTCTCCTTCTTCACCACTCGTTTTCGGCTATGGCTTCTCGGTCATTTTCGCTTTCGAAATTACGGTATGTTTATGGGAATTCGAAATCGTCGAGCTATTTTGTGCTTTCTTGGGTGATTCCTGATGTGTGTGCTTGACCTAGACGGTTTGTGGAGATTGAATAAGAAATGTGATCTCCCGGATATTCCAGCAGTGCGATAAATTAGATTCTGTGATTGACAAGCTGTGATTGGCCTTCGAATTTTGTGCGCAATCTGATATGGATGGATTTTGGTAGCATCTCATTATGTTGCACATATACTCGTCTCACCAGTCACAAGAGGAATTATTATCAAACTTCAGTAAATGTCATTTGGGAATTTATATGTTTAAATGTTCATGCGTTAGAGCTCTGTACTGTTTTGGTCACTGGTTAAACCGTGCTGTTTTGTTGAAAGGGATGTGAAAGAGAGGTTCAAGAGGCCACGGATGGTGGCAATGAAGAACTTAAGAAAGAAACCATAATGCGATTATCGTGGGCGCTTGTTCATTCCAGACAAGCGGAAGACGTGCAACGTGGAATAGCCATGCTTGAAGGTATCTCCTTTCTTGTTCCATGCACTGCTAGTTTGATGCACACTATGATCCTTGGACCATTTTTTGCTGTTGAATGGGTCGGCTATTACCAGGCTTAGTTCTGAAATGTTCGTAGTTATTACTCTTCTTTCTTGCGAACTTGTAACGAGCAAAATCTGTTTTCTTTTCTGTGTGCAGCATCTCTGGCAAACAGTAGCCCTCCTTTGCAAGACAGAGAGAAGCTCTATCTTCTTGCTGTTGGATACTATCGAACTGGTGACTATTCAAGGAGCCGTCAGCTTGCGGAGCGCTGTCTCGAGGTTCACGCTTTTTCTATCTATCTCTCTGTTTCTTTCCCACAATCTTCCGATATTCTCTAACATTCCCACTTGTGGATCAAAATTCTCACAGATTCAACCCGATTGGAGGCAAGCTCTGGTCCTGAAGAAGACCGTCGAAGACAAAATTGCAAAGGGTAAGCACTAAAACCGAACATTCGAAAGTTCTATGGCAGTAAACCAGAGTCATGAAATGGAAACTTGTTTCAACTGTGGCAGATGGTGTGATCGGGATAGGGATCACGGCTACAGCCGTAGGCCTCATAGCCGGCGGAATTGCTGCCGCTTTGGCTCGCAAGAAATGACGACCACCCAAAGGACCCCAATGTTCATATGAATAATGTGGATCTGTTATTAAAGCTTTTCTTCCATTTGGGAGAGAGTGTTTTTTGGTCTACCTGAATGATATTTTGAGTTGCAATATGAGATCTTTGTCAAGGAGATTAACAACATCGTATATATCGTTTTTCGTCGCTAGAGATACATGCGGAAGATTTTAAAGCCATATAAATATTACATAGACCTTTAAAACAATCGTTTGACTTAATTATTTGCTAATAAATATGGCTCATGAAATGACAGTGTTGTAGTAACTAGAGTAATCATTTAGTTACAGTAATTAGAGTATCTATACCGAATAGTTCTATATATGAAGCCAACTGCGTATTTAATGGTAATTCATATTATATCTGTATATTCTTCATATATATATATATATATAGGATAAGAAAGTATAGAAAATATTGTTCTAATGTCCTACTACTATGAGCCCATAGTTAGGATTACTCTGTCATGAATCCATATTAAATTTATATATTTTCATTTTTTTTTGTATATGAGTAAAGATCTTTGAAGGGTTGTTGTGATAGCATTCTACATGACAGATTTCTCAATTTTCATTGTTTCACTTTCACATATATTATTTACTCTTTTTTAAAATAATTATAATTTATATTAAAATAATTTTACATTATAATAAAAGTCATAAAAAAATATTTTTTCTTTATCAAATAAATATTCTATATTATTTTACAAAGTTTATACCAACAAAATTTACAATAAGTTAATTAATAAAAAAATAATATTAACTCGAATATTATAATAATAAAGTTATATAATAAAAAGTTTATAAAATCTTATTGTTTTATAAATTAATCAAATTTTATTTCCAGTCTCATTTTTATTTTACAAAACTTTTATTCAAATATATATATATACATATACATTATACAGTATAATAGAAACTAATAAAAAGGTCTATTTTCTTTGTTGGAGATAAAACTCTACAAATGACAACATCTTTGAAACTAATAAAGAGTTGAGTATTGGATAAAAAGGAAAAAAAAATATAGAACAAATGCTGTTGTAACAAAGAGAAATTATTTAGTGTTTTTGTCATGCATTATATAAATGTATAAATGTTTAAGTTTGTTGACCATTATAATTTATCAGAACATATAATCGGATAAAGATATTGAATTAATGGATTTACACTATCCAAAAAAGTATTAAAGTTTTAAAGTATGATGGCTTTTCTCCTTATATTCCTTTTAGGGGGACACGTGTAAATTGGAAGCGGGTCGAAGATCCGAGGGAGAATCGGGTTCAAGTCGGTTGTGGGCTAAACCCGAAAAGCCCAAAACTTCTCTCGCCCACCCGTATATGACGCCCAGTTTTATAACGGTTCATCACAAAATTCAAATCTCTCTGGAGTGACCTCTCTCTACCGGATCAGGAACTCGCCGGATGTCGGAAGGTCATGACGGCGGAGGATTGGTGGTAGGAGATCGAAGAAAAAGCCGATATCGGTTGTTAGTTTCGTCTTCAGGTGAATTGGCGTCATCGCGTCTTTCATTTCTCTCTCGTTTCGTTAATTTCTAGGATTTGATGGCTCGAATTTCGTTTTTCGTCGTTTGGATCGTTTTCTACTTTGATTTGCTCCTCCGCTGGGGTTTTGGTCATCTTGCTGTTGTTGTCTGCGTTGGTGAATAACACCTATATCTATATTTCTGAGAATTCTCAAATGACAGAACGTGTTCGGTTCTGGGAACGCATTCATATCTCGCGCATTTAGTTTCTGAGTTCCGTAGTTTTACGTGTTTAATTTTCTGAGAAATATATTCAGATATACTGTTTCCAGGGCATATTGAAGTAAATTGGTGATATTGAAGTAAATCGGTAGGGTTTAGGGTAGAGGCTGCTATATGAACTTGTGCTTGACCAATCATGGATATTGGTTGTATATCTCCTTTTTCTGGTGTTGCAGACAGGGAAAAGTTTGACGTTAAACATGACCATAAGTGCCCAAGATTCAAAGGTTAGGTTCTTATGTTTTTAAATTTCCTTTTAGACTAGAAAGGAGTGAGTGATGATAATCCTTATATTCCCATCTCTCGCCAGCTTCTGTCAATCTGGTATCGATGGAATTTGCTCTTCTGTTTATTCTTTTTCTGTACCAGATGAAGAAATCATACATGGCAAGCGTACGTATTTCATACCCGTTCCTTATAATGAATGTGTGTCGTATATTATCAGGTTTATTGCATGCTGCTCATCTTTCAAGGTTATGACGGAAATAACATCATCTGTACCCCAGAATGGTAACTTGCTTATTATTTTGATAGGCTGAGTTAGGTCACCGTATTAATTGGTCAGCACCACATGCATCACAGCAAGTTTTGACAATGACGTCGACTTGGTGTCATGCTAAGTCTTTTGGAATTTATCGAGGTAAGAATCCATTGACCTCTTGGAATTTTTTGTCTCTGTAATTGGCTTTTTAACCAAGCTCCTTCTTTTAGAATCCTGTATAAAAGTTTTTTGGGTTTCTTTAATTGGATTTTTAACCTCCGATCTTTTCACTTTGATATTCATGCAGACTCTACTTGCCTTTGTTAACTCCAAACTTTATAATTCTGTAGAGGCGAAGTAACAGTATTATCAGCTCGTTGATTCTTGATTGGCGGCTTTAGCAGCGGGTATGTTTTCAACCTTTAAGAAAGACTTAATTGTTCCTTGAGATGATGGAAGCTTGAAGTAGTTCTTTTATCTATGAAGTCTCTTGCCAAATAGGAAAAACACATAGTTTTATTACTTTAAAAGCGAGTGAACAGACATGTCTGTTAGATACTGCCTTCTGAATTTTTGACCTATGAAATCAGCATTAAAGGAATTAAAATCTGAACATAGTTATGAATATCTACGCAAAAGTAGTTACTAGTTAGAGACTAGAGTATTTATGAAAACGAATGAGACAACCCTGAAAGCTTAATGCATTTCATGTTTTGTGGCAACAGGATTAGATATATTATGACAATATGATTCATAGATCAGTAACAACAAATAAAATTAAGATAGATCACCTAGGAATCATGAACAGTTTCATGCTTTAGTTAATAGAAATCCCGTATTATTATTTGTTATGGGTTTCTGCATCTAGGTCATTCCAATATTTTATGCAAGTTCGTTCATGTGCTAATCGACAACTGTGACAATGACATGCGTGGAGCTAGAGATGCGATTTGGTTCTGTTATGGTGATGGTTTTTTTTCTTATATTGTTTCCAAGAGGTTCACTGTTTTTTGTCATTCGTGCTTTCAGTGGTGTGCTGCTGTCTTGGGAAGGAGAAGGCGTGCCTTTTAAGGAAGATGATGAAACTTTTACACATAAGGTCAGCCTAGTAGTATTATTTTAACTCTTTTCCTGTATTATACATATTGCAGAAAGGGTGGACGGGCTTTGCTTAGCGAGTCTGTTTATTTGATTTGTCTTTTTGGTTGGCAGTTTTTCCTTAAGCCTACCCTGAGTCGTATTTGTATCTATCAGTGTTGTATGTCCAATCACAGTGGACGTGCATGAACTTATAATCTTCCTAACTGTGGGAACGTGTTATGGTTTGCAAGGTAATAAACTGTATAACATGATCTTGATCAAAGAATGATAGGGTTGTTATTTAAACTGGATAATGATAAAAGCATAAGATATAGCCCGATTTAGTGACTTTTTTGTGTGTGATGATATTTTGCCTTATTTGATGCCTTTTTTGAGCAGGGGAAGAGGAGGAGGTAGCTTCAAATATAGGAAGAGAACTATACCGTTCTTTTTTATAAAACCCATGAAGGGAAGGCAACAACAATACGATTGTGTTTCTTTTGATGCATTTGTTTGTTAAACTTGGGTTTTTATGTGGATTGCAGATGATAAAGCCATATCACAAGCGGAGTGTTGAAGGAGAAGTGGATGTTGCGATTCCCATTCAAGTAAGTTTTTTCCCTTATTCCTTTTTTCCCCATATAGTTTTGCACGAGAATGTGCTATTTCAATTGTTGTTGTTGTGGTAATAAGGGGTGAGAGTCCGACTGAGTCGAGTTTTGACGTCCACACCCAGACATTACCGGACGACGAATTAGCCATCGAGACCCTACCCTAGTACAACCCAGGCAGCGTGGTCAATAATATGCCAACTCAGTAGGCCGTTAGTCGTGCAAATAAGTCCGCTAGGAACTGTTTAAGACCCTAAAGCCACATGAATCCACAAAGTAACCCTCAATTGCTGGCCCATTACGCCTCAAACAGTTCTTTTTTATTCCCTAGTAGGCCCCAGTGACCAGCCCATCGACTACATCTCTTTTGAGCATTCCCAGTAAGTATATCTACATTCTGGTCCAAATATGGCCTCCACCTCCGAAAACAGAACGCAATGACAGGGTTACTAAGTCCTTACGAACCATCTGGGCCAACCTTGAGCCCATTTTATAAACATTTTACCTAATATAATGGCCATTATGCAGATCTATTTTCGTTAACGTTGGGCCCTTTAATAAGCCCATTTGCGTTGTTATTGGGGCCCAATAGTAGATCCATTTCGTTAACGTTAGACCCAATAGGCTCATTTGTATGCGTTGGGAGAACAGTAAGGCCCAGTCTAGTAAAGGATCGGTTGGGCTCAACTATAAGCCCATTTTCATTAACTTTGGGTCCAATACTGGGCCCAACAATAGATCCATTTTCGTAACTTTGGACCCAATCGTAAGCTCCATTAATGTGTCTTGTACGTTAATATTGGGCTTGGGCGACACAATGGAAAACCCCCCAATGGAAAGGCCGTTTTTGTCACCTTGACCCATTATTAGGTTCATTTTTGATAACATTGGGTCCAATAGTAGGCCTATACCGATTAATAAGCCATTTTCGTTAGTTTGGCCCAATAAAAGGCCCATTTTTGTTAGTTGGGCTCAATTGTTGGCCTTTATTGTAATATTGGGCCAAGAAGTAGGCCCGGTACGTAAAGCAAAGCCCATTTGTTTGAGTTGGGCCTAGAAGTAGGCCAGTCTCGCAGTCGGTGACTCGGTGTACCGTTGGGCCCAAGCCGACTTCTTGATAATTCAAGACACCCCTCTCATATAGACCGTCTTGATCGGGAAGCTAACCTTACCTTCTTCTGAAAAGAAAAAAAACAAGCAAGCACTTCCGTGTCATTGATTCACCCGATGATCAGCTCCAACAGAAATGGTTAATTCGGAATTACTGTGCAAATATATTCAAACCTCTGATTATTTCATCTACTATTGAAATATGATCACACACCATTTTTATAGAACCCCCGCACGACACAACCTTCCCCCTCTTTGCAGTACAAACGTACATGATAAAACAATCAGACGTGATTTGTAAATGGAGGAAGAAAACCTGCTGACTGACTCATGAGGAGGAAATGCAACAACATCTAAATTTTTTTTATCACAAAAAGCACCATATGGACAAGTCTCAGGGCACCGAGTGAGCCCGGAAGAATACAGTAGTATTTTCTGTGTGCAGCCATAAAACTGTATCCAAAGGAGCCGGAGAGAATACAGTAGATAGGTCCTTTGACCTGGTAATACAGTGAGAACGCAAGGTGTGGCAATGCCTTCGAGATAATCTGCCACTGGCATACCAAAAGCACTTAGCCACCATTCCCCACAACTTCAAAAACTTTTCCCCATAGGACAGATAATTGCAACATTAGCGTGTCCCAACATGCAATATACCTGATAATATATTTTTATAGTCGCAAACGGGTATATGTAAAGCTTACCAAGCATGGCTTCTTCCATCTAATATCATCGATATGAGATTGACAGTAGCTGGTCAGAGATGAGAGTATAAAAGCTTATCACTCATTTAGTATAAACGGCAATGCACAAGCATAACTTTGAACTTCTACAGTTATGGACATGTTCAGCTGCTAACTTTTCTCTGCCTGTGGGTGTGGCAGCCTGGCAGGCAACACCACAAACAGGCAACAACAAAATTTTGATAGCTATAAAGTTCAGCAACATGAACGACGATTGTAAATAAATACACAACCAATATCCATGGATGCTCAAACACAAGCACATAGAAGTCTCTACCACCAACCTCTCACATACCAACCTATCTAGCTTATATGTCAGTTTCCAAGTAAGCAAAAGATGTGTTAGCTCCTTTTTTTTTTTTTTTAGTTTTGGTTAGGCTTACCTTAATTTTCTTAGTTGGAAGTACCACTGGGGATGCATAGCCTCCTGTCGTTCCAGAAATAAAGAAGTGGAATATCATTAACTTACATGAATACAGAAAACTATTTGAGCAATATGGGAAGGGATAATGAACATTTCACAACAGTTAATTTATACAACAACCATTTGAACGATGTGGAAGTAAAGACGTACACACCCTGACCTTCATGTTTCACCCTCAAATCGTTACGATTCTTTGCCGATTTACTTCAATCTGAGGCATCCCTTACTAGAGATGACAGAATGTGCATAAACCTGAAAAATGGCATTGGAAATAACATAGGAATAATCAATTAAAAGATCGATCTAAGCTAGAAAATCATAAGCTAATCTGATTTGAACATCTAGGAAAGCTCCTGAAATTCCAATTTTAAAATCCACTGATATGGTTAATCTAACTCTAAGAAGAATAGAGCGTCTTGCAATCATTCAATTTCTACGAACCATATTTCACTTCTATCAATAATTATGTATAATTGAAAGGAAAACAGAGACATGGGATCAAGAGAATCCAAAACCCTAGAAACCGTAAATCTAAATCTATTTATCAGAATAGTCAAAATATAAAACTATAGGATCTAGAAACCAAATACAATATCTGAACGCATTCTCAGGAATGAATACATCCTATAATTTGAGTGTTCCTCGCCAACATTGGTAAAACACCAAATAACTTGTATGAGACCAACCAAATCGACGTCGTTTCTCAAAACTTGTTGTATTGCATGCGGCATTAAGGAAATGATATTGTAACCTTTCACCTCAACCTAACAAAATAACAAGTAAGGTAACCATCCCGGGGTGCCTCAGAAGTACGAAACGTGTCCTAAAAAATTTCCATTTTATCGTAAGAAGAAATCTTCTCGCAAAACCCTAGAAACCGTAAATCTAAATCTATTTATCAGCAATTCAAACGATTCAGAAACCAAATACGCGAGATCTGAATGTGCTTTCTCAGAACCGAACACGCCCTAGCATTTGCACATTCTCGGAACTATAGATATAGGTGTTCTTCGCCAAAACTGACAACAACAACAACAGGACCGAACACCAAGCGGACGAGAAAGTCAAATTATAACACGATCCAAACGTCTAAAAACACAACAGAATAAGAAATTCAAGCGATCATACCCTGGAAATTAACGAAAAGCAAGAAACGAAAGGTTCGATGACGTAAAATCACCTGAGGAAGAGACCGAAGATCATTCTCGGCCTACTTCCACCGCTTCTCTACCGTCATGACCGACCGATATACAGGGAGTTCCGGATCCGGCAGAGAGAGAGAGAGAGATTTGAAATTTTTTTTAGAGAGAGAGAGAGAGGTTTGAATTTTTTTATAACCGTCTATATATTGATTGGGCTGGGCCTGTCGTGGAGGTAAGGAGTTTATCCTAAATCTTGTAGGTATTTTATGGGTTTTTCAGGCTTAGCCCAACAACCGAGTTGAACCCAGGTCCAGACTCGGATCTTCGACCCGCTTCCCATCTTTACTCTGCACGCGTTCAAGCCTTTCGTTAGATTAGGAAAGATCGGGGGTTTAAACGTAATTTGAAAAAGCATGATGGGTTTTCTCGAATTTAGAAATTAGAAAACACGAGTGACTCAGTGAAAAAGAACCGGGCAAAAAAACCAGTTGAGTGACTCGCGAAGTAGATATAGGATTGGATTTAAAACTCTTCGTGTCATAGATATTTGTATGTATCTGTAATAATTATTCTGTTGGGATAAAATAGGCATTTGGGGATAAATTGGACATGAAATAGGATAATCAAGCTTTGGGTAAATCTTCGTCATTGGATATGCGATAATCATGTTAATGATTTTCTTAATTCTAACCATTTAACTCCAAACAAGTTACATTTTGGTTAAGGGAGTATAGCGAGAGTTGTGCCCATTTATGCAACATGTGTTCCTAATGTCGAGCTACAATGGCCTCGTGGCCTCGTCTTTTTATGCAATTTTTATTTTATTTTTTAATGCAAAATTACTTCTAAATATTTTGTAAGTTTTTCAAAGTTTAAAATAATAATAATAATTAGTATTATAGAAAGATATGCATTTGATGGCGTAATGAAATTCCCAAAAAAAAAAAAAGAATGGTGGTAAAAGTAGGGATCTTGATATTGGAGAAAAAAGCGCATGAAAATGACAACCAAATTTGATTGTAATCCAACATTTCATCTATATTGTCGCTCCCTCAATTTTTTTACTTTCATTCGTTTAAGATAATATTCCTCTGTATGTATATAATCGTATTAAAAATGAATACTATATTAAAACTCTATGTTTATGAGTTTTTAAAACTTTTAAAAAACCAAGTTTTTAAGCAAATAAAAATAATTGAAAACCCGAAATTTTCTTCAAAAATGAATATTGTTTATCGAAAAAAATAATCCGAACATAAATCAAATAACCAAATACAAAAATGTAAGGAAAAAAAAAACATTTAATCGAGTCCACAATAGATTCTTATACTTTTTTCACCGTTACTTGATCTCAATAAGACATCGGGAATAAATAATGCATGATGGGTGAGTGTTTTGTTATTTTAATGGTGCCTTTTTACCGTTTTAACATTGGATTCCCTCGAAACAAAATTTTAAAAAATAAAATAAAATGAAGAAAACGCAACAAAATCCTAGAGAACATGTTCTCTAAACCTTTTCTCAACGAGGGGTCCGAATCCCCCCACTTGATTAAAATGATTTTCTCGAATTCCTAAATTTGCTAAACTTTATTTGTTGTGTAATTAAAGATGAGGGGAAAACACTATTCTTATTCTCTATATTCGACCATAAATAAATGTGACTATTTCAGGTTTCGATTCGGGTTTGGCTCAGTTATTTTGATTATAAAAAAACTATAATCATTCAGTTTTATAAATAAATTTCGGTTATTTTTCAGTTCGTATTCAGTTTTTGTTGTAAAAATCTCATTTTTTTCCAAATAATTTATCCGTTTTTTCGATTATTTTTTTAATCGGTTCAGTTTCGATTGACTTATTTAATTTCGTTCAATTCGACTATTTGGTTAATAATCAAAATGACCACGATAACCATTAAGGGTGGACAAAAAAACCCGAATTTCGAATATCCGACCCGATCCGAGGGTTGGATATCCGAATTTTCGGGTATCTGAGAGAACGAGACACGAGATCGGGTATTAATATTAGAATACCCGAATTTTCAGGCTCAGATTCGGGTAATTGTTATTATCTCACGGATACCCGCGGATACCCGAATAATAAAAAATTACCCTTTAAATTTTAGGTGTTTTATTAGATTTTGTGTTATTTTATTTAATGTTAATGATTATATAGATATTATTATATATATTTATTAAAAAAATAAATTTATTTTAGATATAAATACAATTTAAATTTATTTTGAATGATTTTGAATATGTATATATAAATATATTTTAAAAAATTGATTGAAAATAATTATAAATATTCGGGTTCGGGTACTTGCGATTACCCGATAATTATCTTACGAGTTTTTCGGGTTCGGTATCTGACTTCACGTGTACGAGATCGGATAATAAAAACTATAACTCGAGACATTCGGGTTCGGATACCCTCAAATTTCTGGATATGCAACCCGTACCCACCCCTGCTAACCATACATAGCTCTAAAATGCTCGGAACATTTCGTTTTATCTAATTTTTTTTATATCACTTCATGACAGTGGGAATCAATCTCCTTTTTTGTTTCGTTTTGCATGTGAAAAAAATAACTTTCATATTAAAAAATTAAATATATATATATGTATTACGGATTCCTTTTTAATTAGTTTTTTTGGGGGGGAACCACGAAAGATCTTGTCAACTTATTATTGAGAGATCAATCAAGCAAGTATATATGTGTCTTATCACAGGTTGCGATGGATCTGTATACATTATGATCGGAAATTGTCTAGTGGGGAGAAGGAATAAAAACGGCAGGGAGGGAGAGGAAGAATAAAAGCATAATGGAGAAGAAAGAGAGGGTATGAAAAGACAAGAAAGCCCTCGACAAAGGTTGACAGAGGGCGACAGTCATCGCAGAAAGTCTCAGGTACTTCAACTCCCAGTTTCTACTGTGATGTCTCTACGACCCATCTCTCTCTCTCTCTCTCTCTCTCTCTCTTAAAAGCAAAGCAAAAGGAATCTGGTGTGAGCTATTGGATCGACTGAAGGGTCTCTCTCATTCACTGTGGTTCAACGTAATGTCTCATAGAGAGGCTGAGTTTTTACATTTGAGTTCTCGAGATAACAAGAGAAATTTAGGTGCAGTAGCTTTATTAAAGATGGTATGTGGAAATCAGTGCCAGAAAAAAAATATATCATTTTTTTCACAATTTTATCGAAACATAATACCGAATAAGCGTTTTTATTTGGTATCATATCGGATAATGCCACGTTTTACGAAGCTTTTGATTGTTGCTATCTTCCCTTCTAGTATATAAGGGAAAAAAATGTTGAATAAGAGAGAAATTAGAAATGATTCAAATAAAATTTTTTGATGATTTTGATCAATACAAAAAAATATATCAAATTCTTTTGAAAATTCCTTCGGATGGGTTAGAAATATCTCAATTAAACCAAATTAAAACAGATCACATGGGACGTTGTGAGAGAATGAAAAGATTTGAGGTTATTCCAATTTTTATATCTTGAGTTAATCATCAAGATTTTCAATCTTTTTCATGTCCTTTGTAATAAATTTGGTTTCACATACAAATTTGGTTATCAAAAAATTTGGTTTCACGTACACAATATTATCGAATTTGACTGTAAAATATATAAAATACGTGTTTTAGATCGAGTCGAAGAAGTAAAATATATTTATACTTATATGTAAAATTTGAAATTAACCTAAATTTGAATAGTTTAATCAGTGAAATGGATGTGTATCATATCTCATATTCGAATTTTTTAGTTTGGAGAAAGAAGCATAATATAAATCACATGGTTAATTCGCGATCTCGATTATAAAAAAAAATTTAAAATGAATGTAAGTATCAACAAAATAATCGAATTCAAATACTATATAATATAAATAACGTCATGCACTGGATATGATAATTTATTTTAGCCGTTGTTGATTTTTATTTTTAGCTTTGAGAAAAATTTCGATGAAAACAAAGTTAAGTCCAATGCAATGAAATGAAAATCGGGGAGGAGAGTGGGGAGTCAACAATGGTCAGAGAAAACAACATAATGGGTTTGTGCCACGCGTCACGTACCGATAGTTGCAAATTTTGACCGGGTAACATCTTTGGGTAAATAAGAACTTAGGAAGACCAATCATAATAAATATTTAGTGAATGTAACTTATCAAACTAATACGGCTTTGTACTCGCTTGAAGATCTAGGAGCTTGGATTAACAAATTTTGAATCTTATATATATATATATATATATACACACAAAAATTATTTTGAGACAACAATTTAGAAATTCGGAATCTAAACGACAATAAAAGTGTCAGATTGTTGTCTTGATACGCTATTCGTAAATATTTGTGTCGCCTTATCAACGGTGCCATCTGCCGTCATCTCTTAGGTAGACATATATATGTATATATAATACGTTGGATTATTCAAATACATATATATATATATATATATATATATATAATAAATAAGAAAAAGCTGAAATACCAATGGAAGGAAAGGGCAGGAAAATAATAAGAAGAGATGGGAGCAGAGGAGAGAGTGTAAGTGTGTGGATTGAGAGGTCAAGTCACAGATGTCCACATCACATCTCTTCACATGCATAACCATTGTCTTCTCTCTTGTCTTGTCATATCATTTATAAATACATACATAAATACATATGTACCCAACAAATTTTATACATACATGCATATACACATATATATATATATACAAACAAAAACTCAAATATATACATATGTACCCGCCTGCATTCGGGTACGTACCATTTCTGTCCATCATTTATAACATTTAGTCGGTATTATACAAACATTAATTAACCAAAAAAAAACTTTATTTTTTGATTATAGTATATGCACATGGTTAGGCGGGGAGGGTAAGAGCCTTCAGAACAAGAATGCATATAACAATAAACAAAGATCAAATGAAAGTTTAACTGTCGGAAATAAAATCTTATTTTCACCCAACAAATTAAAGCAACTCAGTTTCACTTTCTTTCTTGTCTTTTTCTGTTTTTACACTTTCATAAGTTTTGCTTGCTTTATTCCTGCATCCCTTAACCAACACTCTTATATAACCCTAAATTCCAGTCTTATTTCTCTTTCCGGGGGGCAAACAAAGATATTTGCACATATGTATGC